TTTTTTTTTTTTGGAAGGAATAGCGATGCGGCGTTCGATAATTTCGAGTGACGAGAGGTAAGAGAAAGAGAGAGAAAGAGAGAGAAACAGTTACGTGATGGTGCGCGCGCGAGTACGCTTCGTTTGGGAATTTTTAGCGGTCCGTTGCGGTTCATTGCGGTCCGTGAGAGGAGAAGGGGGGGACAAGAGAGGGCAGGATGGTAGAAAATCGATGGAAACCGAGCGAACCCAATTAGCTTGGAACAAAAGGCTTTCGATGGATTCTTGCGCGGATCGGTAAGGTCGTCGTCGATTAGCCCGGGAAACCCGTCACGGTTCAAGAAGCACCTTCTTCGAATCTATATCTATCTATGCGCGTACGTATAATTTTACGATCGATTACTTTTCTTCGTGAACAAAAATTGAAAAATCTTCGTTTCTCTACCTGTCTTTTCGAGTATAACTAGATTTTCCAATTTTTTTGACAAACGCAAATCGGATTCGCTATATTTTTCAACCATTTTCTCTTATTATCAATTTCCATAACTTCTTCCCGAATTGCTTAGGATTCTATCGATCGGAAATTTCACTCAAACACCATATCGATAGTGAGTGAAATGCGAACTTTTTCAACCTCGCTCTCGGTATCAGATTTCGCTTTCGATATTCGGCTCGTTCTACACGAGAGACGAAACGAAAATTTTTGTTTGAACTTTCACAACAATTCGTATTATTGGGCGATCGTGTGTCGGATACCAGGATATCGGGCGAGCGGCACACATGCTCCCTTTCGGCTCCGATAGCCGAACCGGTCGACTAAATCGACCTTAATTTTCCAAAGGGCGGCTGTTCACGATACGTGGCGCATCTCGGATCGAAAATAGAACCGGTCTACTCGTCTCATTCCAGTTATAGTAACCTCCGCTGCACAACATCTATGGCATACATATATACACGCAGCGAGGTGTAGAAACGTTCACATCTCGAGCGTTAATTCTCGTTTTTCCAGCGAGCCTACAATTTTAAATTTTCGCGTCTTCAAGTTTTCCACATGGATGGGACCAGAAATCAATTTCTAAAAAGAAAAAAGGGCGATATAATATTAAACAATGACCGTTTGAGGATGGAACAGTTGTTTCCTCGCCATACTCGTCGACTACCTTTCGACGCAACAAGCGCGCGTGTTTCAATTTAAGCTTCGAAGAAATGTAGGCTAATCGGGGATTCGCATCGATTTTTCTCCTCTTCTTCTTATTCTTTCCTCCTCGAATTACACGTGTCTTTTTTCAATTTTTTCTTCTTTTCGTTTCACGCTCTACTTTATTTCCACAATTTTTTTTTTGAAAATCGTCATCGTCTCGATGAGAAGTGAGAATTCTGTTCGGTACATTCCGTGATCGAACGAAATCGTTACGCTCGATCCATCAATGTTTCGCATCTTCTCTTGTTTCTTAACTCATCATTATAACTCATCGTTTTTAAGAGAATTACGGCCAATTCGATACGCTTTATCGTTTCGAATTGAAACCTATTATTGATGTATTGTTCAAACCTTGAAATATCGATCTGTTCGTTGAAGCTGATGTAATCGTTACAGTCAACCGTTATAGAGACGTTACGCGTCAAATTATCGATAAACGGATATCATATTGAAAACTCACTTTTGATAATGATAATGATCATTCTAACATTGAGATCATATTTTCGTATAGAGAAGCCGAATTTCATCTCGTTCGAGTCGAGATTTAAAATTCGAATTGATTGGCTATGAAAATTAATAATACGTGTAATTTGACGGAATAAAAAATTTTTATTTCCTCTGAAATTATTCATTTCGGAAAAATATTTTCATCTCCATTTTCGACAAATGAATCAAACAGCGATGAATAATGCTACGTATAACTGTCAGCTTTCTTTGCCAACGAGAACAACAACGAGAGAACGATGAAACGTTCGCTGAACGAACGAACGAATGACGGAATGTAAACTTTTGTTTCAGGGGCTTCGGGAAGCAAGGATACCAATGTCAAGGTAAGAAACTTGTTCGAGGCTTCGACACCCGCGATTCGAAACACTTTCCGTGACACCTTCGCCTCCTTTTGTTTATATTTCCAGTCTGCAGTTTCGTCGTTCACAAACGATGTCACGAGTACGTGACCTTCACGTGCCCTGGTGCTGACAAAGGAGCTGATTCCGACGTGAGTATCGAGCAAGCGCATATTTCGTTAGACACGATTTCTGTTCGTTTATTATTCTTCTTTCTCGACGCAGTTTTATCGCCCCTTTCTCTCTTTCGTCCTAAGCCAAGGACCAATGAAACCTCGCGATCGCGATTCGATTAGTAGCTCGTGTACTACCCGACTTCTTCCCTCGATTGTCGCGTACCTATTCACACAAATTCGTAAGGCGGAAGGGAGACACTCCTCGCAGTGGTCTCTTTCGAGGGGAGAGGAAAATGGCGATTATTGCTGCATCTCTTTCTCTCTCATTCTCCCCCCAGTGAACGCGAATTAATCAATGACACGAGCGCCCAAACGCAACAGGGCGTTTATTTTGCAATAATATCGCTATTTTCTTACTAATTAAAAACATTCGATTCGGAATACGAATGTTGAATATCGATAATCCATACGATACGATGTATGTAGATGAGAGAGAAAAAGAAAGAAAAGACGTTGTGTGCACGTGACGTGTGTGCGTGTATGTGTGTGCGCGCGCGCGTGAGAGAAAGAGAAGAGAAAGTGGGAGGATAAAGAAGGAAGAAGAAGGGTAACGAGCTGAAACAAAGTTGCCAAAATGGCACATCGCGACGATCAGAGAAGGATAAGAATGATCCTCGGCTGGAGCAAACAGGGAAAGGATACCCGGGGCTAAGAGCTATATAAATATATATATATATATATATATACATTTTTCCACGTTTTCTCGCACCGCGCACGATTGGCCTTAAGCGTTTACTGCGCTTCGTTTTAACCACGCTTGTAACACGGATTATAATTATGCGGACGAGTAATATAAGGGAAATTATGCGCGTTGGAAAAACCAAAACGGTTTTAAAATTTTCAGGAACAACGTTCTCGACTCGTTCGCGATCAGTTCGCTAATTCCTCTTCTTTCCGAGTCGCGAACGTTTTTTCCTCATCACTGCGGAAGGAAATGGTTTTTTTTTTTCTTATTCATACTTCGACTAAAACGATCAATGTCCTAGCGTCGTCTTCCTTGGCCCTGGTGCTGATTTCCTTCCTGTGCTTCTGTGCTTCGAAGACGACTCTTCTCGATACCTAAAAAAAAAAATCCTTAAATCATCGTCCTTCCTTTTTTCGAATCGCGCCTTGATTTCCCTGAACAGCGATGCTCAAATTTAACGTAGAGGGCAATAATCAAATTCAACGCGTTTTAAGAGAAAGCGAGAGAATAATTCGAATAATAACGGTCGCCATAGTACGGAATGACATTGAGCCACGCCGAACCAAAGGTGTTCGGTTTCGCGGTTGCCAACTCTGTTTCCAAACTTGGACCAGAGAGAGACACGAAAAGTTATTATTGCGCGATCGCTTATCGGGGAAATCGTCTTTTTCTTTCCTTCCTTCGTTCCTTTCTTCTCTATTTATTCCCCTTCCCCACGCCTATAACCCGAGAGTCTGCGTGTGTGTGCACGGTGTAATGGTGTAATAACGCAGGACACGCGGACGAAGCACCAATTCAAGCAACACACCTACAACAGCCCCACCTTCTGTGACCACTGCGGTAGTCTTCTCTATGGTGTCATCCACCAGGGCATGAAGTGCCAAGGTATCATATCAAAAACAAAGAAAATGGAAAGAAACGAAAAATAAAAAAAGTAAAAAACGAGAACACGTAACCAGTCACACGCACACAGACACACGAAAAGAAAAAAAGAACACAAACACTGTCGCACATTATTGCCGATCGTATATTTTTTGTCTATGGTCTACCGTTTGTTCGTGGTGTTGCTTTGTCTTCGTCTACTGATCTTCTTCCTCTTTCTCCTTTATCTTTTCTCTCGTTCTATCTTCTCATTTTCCTTTTATTCTTCTTCTTTTTCTTCCTCTTTCTCTTCTTCTATTTCTACTTCTTTTTTCTCACTTCTCTGTTTTTATTCCTTGTAAAATATATATATATATACTTTCAAAAAAAAGCTTGCCCTTCTTGCGAAAGTCGTATATATATATACACTCGTGTGTGTTGAGCAATAACCGTAACCGACTTTCGCAAGTACGATCGAGGAAATAGATGCGCAAAAAAATATTTCGAAACAGGTGGTTGTTCCTTCGTCCTCGATGCGCATCCACTTTTCTCTCGATCTTTCGACATCCATTCGTTCTCTTTCTCTGGTACAATTCGCGGCAAGCTTTCTCATCCCAATCCACGTGCGGCTTGATCGCAAGGACCGCTATTTGTGCCTCTGAATGTCTACGTGTTTGCAGACGTATGTCGATATTAAGCATTACCACGCATATCTTGTACGTACCGCTCTCTATGTGCGCACAATGTATCTGTTTATTTTCCTTCGGGAAAGGGACTTAAAACGCGAAGGAAAGAAGAGAAGCATCTCTCTCTCTTTCTCTCTCTCTCTCTCTCTCTCTCTCTCGCTTTTACCCTTTATGATCGTGGTTCGAATCGAATTTAGCGATGGATCTTGCTTAGATTCGTACTTTAGAGAATTTTTCGTATCGAGAAAAGAGAAAATGATATTATGCCCATCGTTGGAGGAATCACGTTTTTTAAATTTGAAGTCTCTTCTTTCTTTTTTTTTTTCTAATTTATACAACGCGTTCGCGCGAAACATTTTCCTTTCCACGCTCGTACTGACTTTAAATCTTTATCACTTAAATCACACTTATCATCTACGACGTGTGTTCTATGACACACGTGCATACGGTCGATTCGTACACGGCACGCGCAATATATATATATATTTAGTTTGGTCCTTTATACATCGATAATTTCGATCTTTTTTTTCGTAACAGTTGTTTCGAATTTTTCGATAGGTAAAAATCATAGAGAATGATTTAAAAAAAAGGAAAAAATAAAAAAAAAAGATAGAAATAGCGAGAAAGAATAGTAAATATTTTTGCTCGTCGAATTTCACGTAGATATCGAAAAAAAAAGAGTTTAAACGAAATAAAAAGGATTGCGATCATGCCGTGAGTAAATCTTTCTCTTTTTATTAATTTTTCCGAACAAGAACAGAAGAATTTTTCATCTTCTCTGTATTACGTTATATAATATACGTTATATAATATATATATAAATATATATTTGTAAATATTTCTTCCATTTTGTACGATCTATTATTCGATGTATCATTCAATGTCTCTCCGCTTTTATTTATCTCCGAATTTAATCTGTTTTTCGCACTTTTTTTATTTACATCGCATCACGCAAATTCGTTTCTCGGCGTAAATTTCGTCGACGCGTTTTTTTTTCTTTTCCCTTCTTCCCTCATAGTAGTTTACTCGTGTCATTTAGTAACGTAACGCGGGTAAATTGAAATTCTTTCGAGTACGCGTACACACGAGCCGTGAACGCGCGAATTTACGCTTTATCGTCGGCTGAGAATGACACTCGATGCCAGGAAGAAAAGAGGAAGAGCGAACGAGCAAGTTAATTAAACGCTCGAGACTGCGAGAAGGAAGAAAAGGCTGGAAAATTAGAGAAGCAAAGGAGCGGGGCGTTAGCGTCCGA